AACAGGCTGCCCAGGGGGGCTGTGGAGTCTCCTTCTCTGGAGATATTCAAAGCCCACCTGGATGAAGTCCTGTGTAACATGCTCTAGGAGAACCTGCTTTAGCAGGGGGGTTGGACTGGGTGATCTCCCGAGGTCCCTTCCAACCCTTGCCATTCTGTGATGGCTGCGGACAGGAAGGCTCTGGACACTGTGAGGAGTGTGGCCTGGCTTCATCCCCTGAGATGTCTGGTGATGAAGGGCGTAGCAGGGAGTAGGTGCGAGGGACGTGCAGGAAGGGGTTGAGAGCAGAAGGAATGGTTAGCCTGCTTTGGAGATTGGGAAGGGGTTACAGTGTGGCTGCAGAGTGCTGAGGTAATTATTGATGGGGACTGAGGGAGCAGAGGGTACAGATAATGCAGCTGTTTGAGGTACAGGGGTAATAACGTGAGTGCAAGAGCTGTTTCACTGATGATAGTGATTGAGCTCACGCGAGTGGTGAGCTGCCATGCAGGTGCTCCATGCGATGAGTGTCTGGAAAGTCACAGCACTTGGGTTGCAGCATCTGGTGTCTGCTTCTTCTCAAGATGTAATGGCAGTGTAGTTATGGATTGAGAAAGTGCTGATAGCTGTAGTGGAGTTCTGTCAAGAGTTATGCCTCGTGATTTATTTGTTTGGGAGAAGAAATAAATCTTGCCCTCTGCAAATGTTTTCCTGCTGGTTTAAAATCTGCAGTCAATTCTCAGTCCCTCTAAATATGTTCCCTTCTCTCTCATGTGTGTATATTTTCTATGGTTTGCAAAATCCAGCAAAACTGTTACTATAGTATGTTTTTTTACCTTGTTCTACAGCTCGGAGGCTTTCTTGTTGCTCCCTACACAGGAACAATTTCATAAATATATCACTGGAGCTCACCTGGGGCTGGAGTTCCAAAAAAAGCCCCAAACCTTTTCAAAGTACTGCTGTTCAAAATGTTTGAGTTTGTATCCAGATTTAAGCTGGGGATTTGATTACCCATTTAGTGGAAGGGACAGAAATAATTTAAAAAAAAAAAAGGGGGGGGGGGGGGGAAAAAAAAATTCCTGAGGAAAATCAGGCTTAAGTGGAATCAATACCACCCCAGTTCATTCTGCACTGAAGAAGGATGTCAGGTTGTTTTTTCAGACTTAAAAAATGTATTCTGCCCTTGTGTATTTGGGCTGGAAATTTCAAAGGGGTCCAGGGGAGCTAAGGATCTAATTTCCTGTCTCAGCGAGATTTTTTTTTTTTAATTCACCTGGTCTTTTTTTAAAATCTCAATCTTACAGCAGTTATGTGTTTAGGATTTTTAAAAGTTTCATGAAAAATATTGTATTCAGTAAACCGAAGCTTAACTTGAATTGGTATCTGCAGAGATTGTGTGTGAAGATTAAGGACTTACTATGGTTGCAGACTGAAGGGGATGCTCAGGTACAAAAAGATTTTTTCTTGGATCATAAATGTCAGTAAGGTTTACTGCAGTCACATGGTGATACTGTGACACAGGCATGATTGTATTGAAGTTCCACAGTAGAAATATTTTACTAATTTGTAGCAACCATTAAAACTTTGATCTGGGACACTTCAGAAGTTCAAGGTGCTGCTGGTGGGAGTCAGAATTTTCCATGTTTCTCTGAATTAGCTGGAATTAGCTGTATCTGTGACATAAATAATCGGGTGGTGCAAAGACAGTGATTGACAGCTCTAGACAATTGTCCCTATGAGCGTGATCTTTTCTTCAGCAGCGGAACGGACAAAAATCTGCACAAGCAGGTTTCCAACAGAGTGGGAGTAAAATTCTTCTGGATAAAACATTATGAAAAAGATATTCTAAGGTCTAAGGAGCTGTGTGGGGACATAGACTCCAAGGTTTACCCTTTCTTTCGCTTACCTTGTAGAGCTGCCACACAGTGAGCATTCCTTTTACACGGCTTTCTGCAATATACAGTACACTGCCTGCCCTCAGCACCCTCACTTGTTTCGTCAGCAGGCATCAACTCCTCATTTAGGCTAGAAAGTTATTTTGTATACAGAAAGCTGACATTGCCTTGCTTCAGGGTATGGTGAGCACAGCGAGAAGGCATGCGCCAGCATATGGATTAGACCGCATCTGTCGATAGTTGGTTTAACTTCATTCCCTGGATTTTACATCGATTTGGCAGGCTTGCTCTGTGGCTTTCCACTGTCTTTTTTCTGCTTCCTTGTGCTCATTTTAATAGGAAAAGTGTCCGGCCTGCTGTATTTAGTTGCAGAACAAGTTGGTGTCAATTTTAGCTGTTAGAGTGATAACTGATAGAATTCAGAACTTGAATTCAGAAAAGCAGTTTAACGTGAAAACAGGTTATATATAATGTTTCTACTCATTCAGTAATAAAACCTCCTATGTTGTATGAACTAATCTGGTTTTGGCATTTGATTATGTGACCGTTAAAGTAGGAATCTTCGTAAGTGCCCTTGTGACTTTTTTTTATTTTATGTAATATATGCTACCAGTTCCATTACAGAAGTATTCATTGTCAGTTGAATTCTGAGGTTGGTAGTTGTGACAACAAGCCCAAGGAATACTGCTGACATGCATATCCCTTCAGAGAGTGGTTTTGTTCCAGCTCTGACAATGAAAACTGGTATCAGAGTAGCAGTGAAAGGCAAATATTCATAGTGCTAGGAGAACAGAAGGAGAGGGAGAGAGATGCATATTAATAAGTGGACTCGATAAAACAAGACTGATAAAGAAACAGAGACAAAGGACTGGAAAAGAAACAACTGCTTGTTTGATTCACAAGAATGTAAAACACAGCCCACAGCAAGGGATGCAATAAGTAGTGACAGAGGCCACTGTTCACGAACCTAACTTTATTCACACTTCAGGATGTCCCAAAACATGGGCCTGAGTGCTGCCCTGGGCAGGATTATTGCTGTCAACAAAACATCTTGTTTTGTGTATTTCAGAACCATTAAGAACTTGCCACAAGTGACAAAGGCTGGTGAACATATGACATTTTGTAAACCTTTTCTTTTTTTTCCCCCTTCTTTTCTGCTTGCCCTTTCCTCCCTTTAGATCTAACTTCTAGCACAAGTGCAACAAAAAGCATGGAAGAGAGGAAGAAAGAGGAAAAACCAGAAGAGCAGCCTACAGAACCCGAATCAGCTCTCCCAGAAGCCTTACTAGAATTTCAGTAGGTTTAATATATTTAACTTTTCACTCACATAAAATATGTGAATGGACAAAGCAGATAACAAAGACAACTTACCCAATTCAGAGCCTGAGCTGATTGACTGCAGCAGTTGTGTGCTGTTCTTTTGTGTTCTTGTTTCAGGTTTTCAAGGCTATTTTGGAAATACACACTTTTTAAACTATACCTATAAGAAAGCGTTTAAGTGGGTCAGAAGTAATTTTATGCTGTTAGGTTATAACTTGGGAAAAAGAGTTTTATAAAACAAAAAAAAATCCATGGTTTTGTCTGCTAGTAGCAAGCTTTTGATCAGCATCCTTTGAAGTAGCAAGATCACATTTGATTGTGTTTTTTAGGATTCCTTGGTGTTCACAGAGGCATGTAGTCACTAGCCAGAACCTCAAGACCTACAGTTTGCTCCTTTGGCACAGCTGAGAGCTGATTTATTTTGAAAATAGTGGAGGGATAACTTAAAGGTCTCTTAAAATCAAGCAGAGGAAAATAAGAGCCAAGAGGTGAATATCTGAAGTAGTTACAAAATAGTCCAATTGTATTGATCTCCAATCTCTTGAGTAGATGATTAAAAGGGGAAAAATTAAGCTCTATGACTTTTATCAAAGAGATAGAAATTGAAAGGGGAAAGACCTCAACAACATCCAATATTCAACAATTACCAGCATTTAAGGAGCAAGGAGTAGTGCCTTGGTGTAGAAGTAAAAAGTGGGGTATGCAAACTGAAGAGCAACCACATACAGTTCTAGTGATATCTGTGGGAGTCTACAGGGTTTATGTGGGATTTTCTATTTAATTTTACAAAGAACAGAGTACAAATTTTCATAGTGAAACAGACCAGCTTTAGCTGAATCATATCACAAATAAATATGATCCAAAAAGTCAACAAGCCAACCCATCTATTTTGCTAAGAAATAAGCAAGCTGTATTACTAGGCTGTGAAAAAAACTCGCATCACTTTCTAATGAAATTGTTGTTATGCGTATCCAAGCAAATGGCTCATTTGTCTGAAGAGTCTTTCACTGAAATGGGCGCTGTACTGACACAGGTTATTTAGTTTCTACAGAAACAGTAGGGGAACAAGGGAAGAAAAGTATTTTTCTTTCTGTCTTTATCTTTGTCCCTCTCTCCTCTCTTTCTCTCTTTCCTTCTCTCTCTCTCCACCTCTGTAATCTATAATTTCTCTGTACCACTTGATTGAACAAAGCAGCATAATCATACAAGTGAATATCTGTCGCATTCCGCTTTAGGATTTCTCATTTGTGCAGTATTTATTTAACTTTCCTGCTTTTTCTTCTGTACATTGAAGAATGGTTGCTGTTCATAGTGAGTTTGCATTTTCAATATAGTTTTCTGTTTCAGGATTGGTTAGGAACAACAATTCTGTGAATTACTTGCCCTAGTAACATCCTATAGATGACAAAACTGTCATGGTAGTGGAGAGGACTGTTGTTTCTAGATGATTAAATCATCCAGATGAAGCCTAGTATACAGAGTTGAGAAAAATAGTATCAAAGGAATCATCAATTGGCTGTTTTGTAGCTTTAATCTGGCAAATACCATAGAAAAATAATCTAAAGAGGAAAGTTCCAATATGTAGCAGACAAAATAGCAAATTCTACTCATACAAATTTTTGACATTAACAAAGTGACAGATACAGACTGCCACTTCATGGAAAATCTTAAAGTAGCAGAAATTAAGATCAGCATCAGCATTGAAAATACAGAAATGGTTTAAAATGGCAGGTAATTGAGGAGGTTACACTGTGTGGTCAAACTGTCACCTCTGTCTCAGTGGTATATTTTTGCTGTAGCCATCACCACCATACCTCCACATCCCTGTTCTAGTCTCTCTAACTAATATTCTTGTACTTAATGGAAAACCTGAAGAAAGCCTTGGAGGACACTGACACCAGAGGGTGCAAATCTAGTAACCTGCAATTTGCATGACTGAGTGATCCAGACTCAGCCCGGAAAAAATGATTCTCTTTTAAAACAAATTAATACAATAAGGAGGGGCAAAAACAAAACCTCAAGGAACAATAGCTGTTGAAACAGTAAAAGATATTGTGATAACTGTAATATTTGCCTCTATTGTGCAGTATGTTGAATGAATTCTGGGAACAGAGGGAAACATTGCAGAGAATTTTGCAAATGGACACCATTTGCAATCCAGCATTTCTCATTCTACAAGAGAGAACACCAGAAAAAAAACCAAACTTATTTTACAGCTGTGGCAAAGAAGATGGCAAGTAGTTTATGGAAATTGTGAAAGCAATGAGCCAATTCTTTGGCAAAAAAGAATAAACTTACTTAGAGGATGCTACTTGGCCTGCAGTCCCTATTCCCTTAGCACTTCTTAAAGGCTAACAAGTTCTTGGTGTACAAATGCAGTTTATGAAGCAAACCACATTTTCAGAAAAATTGACTCCCATTAATTCTCCAGTTTGGGATTCATCTGGCCTATGTCTGGGTGAGTTGCCTAGGCTTCCTCTGTAGTGAGTGGTGAGTAACAAATATTTCTGGAGCACAAATAATCTTGTCCTAAAAGAGACCTGTGCAATAGGTCAGCTAAACCATATCCAGAAAGAATAAACCAGCTTAATCCTCTCTAGTGGTTACAAAAGAACAGTATAATCAGAGAGTCTGTTTCTCAGTAGGAGTATGAGATCCAAACCAACATGAAGGTCCAGCTGTATGTGGGAAATAACTTCTTTATGTCTAGTAAGTGGGCAGTGGCACCTACCCAAATGAGTCAAGCAATATGACAGAAAAACAAACATTTCAGTAGTATTCACTTCTAATCTAGCTTAAATAACATTCCTCTCTCTTCTGTTTTTGTAAGAGCGCCTCTTTCTTTACTCTTTCTCCACAGAATTGAGACAAAAGAAGCAGCAATTGATCAAGTTTTGTTTGACCTGAAACAAGTAGAAAAAAAGAACAAGGAATATCGTGATAGAGTAAGTGACCATGCATCACTCTCCTAACACATTTTATATGCGGTATTTTAGCTCAATTAATTTTATTCTTTTAGTCCTAATACTACAGTCACTAAAACTAGTCATTGCAGTGAATTTCTTACAGTCAATGGAACTAGAGTTAGTGAGTCACTTTATGTGCTAAAAGTTAAAGTGTTATCTGAATTAAACGTGACACAAAGCGTAAATGTCCTAAATATAACTGTGCAAAAAAGGAGCTGCAGGAGTGGAACATTGCAGAATAGGACACAGCAGTAAGGTAAAGTGAGTTCAGTGAAGGTGTTTTCCATGTGAGATCCTCAGTAACCACCTAAGTAATCTTACTCTGCAGCAAACATAGGACAGCAAGCGCCCCTCCAGTAGCTAACTTTACATTCAGGTCTGCCTTTTAAACAATCCTGCAAATATTCCTCAATATTTCAGCACACAAAGAATAAATGGTAGTAACTTAATTTTTGTCAGTAGTATTAGCAGATCTAACCAAATACTGAGATTTGCAGACCTTCTTTGATTCACTTCTGAGGTAATGGAGTTGCACAGGTTTTTATGAGAGTTTAATTGTTCTTCAGAACTTTATTACAGTGAAAATGAACAAAGAAGAAAGAGCATCACACAGTTGTCTAGGTGCGATTTTTAGCGCTGTGTGATGAAGGCTCACTTTCTTGTGGAATAAGGGTTGTATTGGGTCACTTTTAGAACAAGGTTGTGTAACTGCAGAGCCCTGGCCCAGGCTGCCCAGGGGGGTTGTGGAGTCTCCTTCTTTGGGAGATATTCAAAACCCGCCTGGACGATGTCCTGTGCAACCTGCTCTGGGTGACCCTGCTTTAGCAGGAGGGTTGGACTGGATGATCTCTGGAGGTCCCTTCCAACCCTTGCCATTCCGTGATTCTGTGAACTACCGATTGCACCTGAGTGACGCTTTAAAGAACTGTATATATGAACTGTATATAAAGCACTGTATATAAAAGGCCATAATATGGCATCTGATGACTGAGAGCAGTGAACTTGGAAGGTGGATATACATAGAGTCACTGAATGAAATTAATTCAAATCACTCAAAAATACTTAAACTGGATCACATGATTAAACACTGTTGCAGCCTGCACTTCCTATAGCAGCGAAACACTGAAACAAACAACGCCCCTCTGTCCTGCCCATGCCTGATTACTTGCCCTGCTTTTGCAAGTATCCATCTGTTTAGCTTTGCTTGGTGTTCCTGTCAGTCTTGAAGCCTGGATGGTGTTTCATTTGTGGCCATAACTATCGGTGGAAGTGGCATTTGGCTCTTCTCTCTGCAAATATCTGAAGTCTCTTATGATTATTCCCCCAATTTGCTGCTAGTTCATGGTCTCTCAAGGACTCCTTCATATTTTAGGCTGTGCGAGGTACTTCAGGACATGCTTGAAGAGCTATTTGTTTAATTTACCTATGTTTTGACAGTTCTTTGAGCTCCATTCTTCGTTTCCGGCTTAATGTTTCTGAGTGGTTTAGAGTTAATCCTTCTAGAAGTGAGGAATGCTTGAGATTCTCTTTGCTGTATAGTTACTGTTACAGTGTGGCTGGTATGGCTGTTTGCTGCTTTACGGAATCCTTTGGGAGCAAGCATACATGATCAGTAATTTCAAATAATTTGAGTGTCACTTGAGAGTGTAATGGCAAGGGGTTATAATCACAATTGTGGAATCAGCAGGTATAATTAGTTAATTCCAGCTCTGACAAGACTATTGTGGTTATGTGGAAGTGACCTGACTGTCTGATGACATTTCTACATGAAGGTGGTACACTGTCATGAAGAATGTTGACGTGAAGTAAATAACTCCTACAAATAAATATTGTTATTAAATTGGCCCACAAGGAACTGTCTTTCCAGGCAATGGAGGACTACTGATGTGCTGCACCAAGTACAGCAGTCATTTGTTTCTCATTTCCTAATAAAATAAGTTACTGAGAAACTTCTGAGACTTGCAAACTCTCCCTATTGCTCCATCCTTTTCGACTATGAAGAATAGATGGTTAGCTGAGTGGTTTTGCAGTGCATCCTGGCACTAGGTCAGATTTTACTTTTCCTCATTACTTAAGTTTGTCACTTCGAAAACTAATTTGAAAGTGTTTCAATACATGCATTTTCTTCTGTTGTTCATTCATAGAATGACCTTCTGAAGCAAGAACAGCAGGCACGCATCAGGCGCATACTAAGACAAATAGAAGAAGAGGAGAAAGCACAAGATGAAAAGGAGGTTGTAACTAGGGATGATGTGGAAGAGGCACTGAAAGCAAAATGGCAGCATGTTAAGGACAAAGAACAACTTCTGAAAGGTATGTTGTGGGTTGTGGAAGCGTGATTTGCAGTTTACACAGTTGGGACTGAGTACTTTTTTTTTATTTTATTTTCAATAGAGATTCAACTTCTTTGTTGCATAAAAATCATAAAGCTTTTTCTCCCCCACATTAAGCTCTCTCAACGTGGTAAGAGATTGTGGAGGGCTTATAAGTAAACCTGTTCCTTCCACAGTGGTTAATATTACCGTGCAAGTGCAGAGGCTTCATTTTTTCTATAAAGTTGAAACTCATGAAAGCCCTATGCACTGGCTCCACTGGAAGATTAAAAAAAAATTATCGATGGCAGCAAAAATGACCAGTTTTGATTGTTGAAAGTTCTGGCTGCCATCTGTCAGCTTCTCAGTGCGAGACACATGGGTCTTTGGTTACAACATTTCAGTAAGAAATGTTCTCTCCCCTCGGCAGAGAAAGTTCAAGCTGTTTTCAGCAATGATGGTGGCCCATGACATTATGTGAGGCCATCACGTTGTAATGTATTGAAGTGTAGAAGAATCACCCTTCTTTCTCCAATTCCAGTGAAGGCACCTTTATTAAAGAATTTGATGAAGTCATAAGAATTATGAACTATCAGTTTGAGAAATTGGTCATGTGCTTGTCTTCTGATGTTCTTATTTTAATAGATCTGCACTCCCAAATTGAAGAAACTGGCCAAAGACTTTCAGTAAAGCAGAGTGAGAGGGATTATTGGTTGGAGTACAAAAATGTAGGAAGTAAAATACAGGCCAACAAGATTAAGAATCTGGAAAAAGACATTAAGGAAGTCAAAGATGACCTTCACAGAGCAACAGGTCAGTTTATCGCCCTTTATTAAAGAGTCTTATGAAGTTGGAGAAATTATGAACACTTAAAGAAACTGATAACCTTGTCTTCTGATGATTTTCTTGTAAAATGTAGGCAAACCATATTTTAAAAATGTTACTGTGAAAGACAACAGTTTTCTAAAAACAAGTCTACCTGCATTTAGGTCTCCTACACACAGGTCTCCATTAGCAATCGTACTTAAAAATGTTGATTCTGTTCTTGTTGCTTCTGGTCATGCTACAAGCACTTCACGTGTTGAAAACTCCCTTGACAGGAAAGTAGCATGAGCTCATTCTTGAGATAGAGTTTTGAATTGAGCATGCTGGTTTAAATGCAGAACTAGAGGGAGCTGTTTAGCCAGTGGTCTGAACTTTGCCTCCTAGTTGCACAGTCTCGTGAATGAGGCCCTGCACAATTGCCAGTACAGACATCTGCAAGTACTGGGAACTGTTTTGATACTGACACAACAGTGGAAGTAATCTGAGCGCTTATGTATTCTGGTGCTGAGTGTTTTACAAAGATTTCTTTACTACTGCATTATTTTAAAACCACTTAAATATTTTGCTGTTACATAACCCGTGCTTCTGATGGGAGAAGGATGTCCTGGTTTTCTTCCTTTATGTCCCTCTCAGTATGCATGACGATAGCCAAGCAGCTGGTACTAACAGGCAGTGACACTGCTCTAAGGGTCTCTGTATATTCTGTGCCAACCATTACCAGGCATCAACTACTGTGGCTAAGAGCCAGCTAGCTATCTTTTTGTCTCTTGAAACATATTTTGTAATGATTAAGGTCTGCACTGCGTTTTCTACATTGCCAGATAGCTTGTCAGATACCCATCTCTGTATTCAGGAGAGGTTGATATTTTTCCTTATGTGTTTTTTTCTGTGTTCTTTATCAATTTAAAATTATGTTATACAGCTGCTGAAATATGAAATGAAAAAGAGAATGGGCTTTTATACAGAATGCCAGAATGAGCCAGTAGGAACATTTAGTCTGACCTCTCGCATGTCAAAGGCTACAGAGCCAAAGATTTGCAGTTCAACGGAAGTGTATTTATAGAAAGACTGTTACAGAGGTACATATAGCAGTTTCCTAATTAACATACTGCAAGATGATGCTGCCAGTACTGGATGTTAGCATACTATTTCACTCAACTTCCTAAAATCAAACTTATAAAGTGGGGAGTTCAGTCTTCTAGCCTACAAAAAAAAAATCTAACAGGTATAGCGGCAGCAAACTGGGCTTGTTCGCTCCTTGAATGTGTAACAGGCTTAGGGAACGCCTAGATGAAGAGGTTTCTGTGTCTGTAAGTATCACTGAAGGGCTTGATGCTGGCACAGTTCATGTGGTCTGGAGATGACATTTTAAACAAAATCGCTGGAGGGGAGAGGAAGCAAAAGAGCACCATACACTTACGTGAGGTCTGGGGAGAGCAGTGTTGCAGTGAGAGAGTTAGGGAAAACAGCCTCCTTAGAAACAGTATGTCTGAACAGTTCCTCCTTCATTCTCCCAGTACAACTCAGGTTGTTTAGCTGTCTGAAAGAATGAGAAGATGAATTAATTATAGTATGTAAGTACTTCCATTTCATTCTGCCAAGTCTAGGTGGTGGATTGATTAAGGCAGACCAGCTTCCAGAGTGTTAAATTAAGAACTAACGCACAACTAACACACCTTTCATATTTGACTGCCCTTGACTCCACAGTGGGTCCATGACCAGATACTCCTTTACAGCCAGATAAGCAATAGGCTGTCTGCAGCACAAGTGCAGAGCTAGGCTGAATTTCAAGCCTCTGGAACAAGTATGAAGTGCCTTCCTTCAAAGAAAATTACTACAATCTCATTCATTCCTTCAAAAGGAGCAAATACCAGGCAGCAGTGGGCTATTTAGAATAGCACAAAAACAGCTGAAGGGAAGGATGAAATAATTAAATAGCAAGTGACTAGGACTTGAAGCCAAACAAATTCAGCTGGGCATAAGACAGGCTTTCAAAATAATGGCCACAAGTAAGGATGAAAGCAAATCATTGAGGCAATTGCCACATTCTCCATTTTGTCCCGTTGTCTAATTAGAACCCCCTGGAAGGCTTAGATAAGTCAGGAAATTTAGTAGGCTCTTTATAATAACTATCTGAAAAAAATGCCATGTGCATAAGATGATCCAATACGCTGCTATACCTAAAAAATAAGTTTTCTAAGCAAATCTCTCGCATGACTCCAGGAGCTCTGCTATAGATAGAGACAAAATTTAGTGTTAAGATGCCAATGTTTTTTTTCAGACAACTGCTCAGTTTATTAGCTGTCGTAGTTGCCAAGAGAAATGTTTAAGCCACTTCAGATTTCTAGTTTTGCAGTTAACATTACCGTTCTCTGGGTTTAGGGGGACAATTTCTATGGAGAAGGATGTTTGAATCCTTTCTTGCGGAGCATCTGTGCACGTGATCCTGGCTGCTAAGTTCCAGTTTAGGAACAACATGCCAATTATCTATTTGTTGTCAGGAGAAACTGACGTCAGATAATGATTTCTGATTTTCTTTTTTGTTTTGAAGAATATTACAGAAATGCTTTGAACACAGTGAAAGAAGAAAATGACAGACTGGTTGAGAGGCACACGAAGTTAAGTAAGGAACAGGCCCCTGAGGTATTCTTTTTGCCTTTTTTAAAAGTATTAACTGCATCTGCATTAATAATTATTTTAACTTGAACTAAGACTTGGAACTTTTCTAAATAATTGAGAGTAAAATAAACTGTAAAACTTCTTACTAAACATGGCATTAGTTATTGTTATACACGCATGTATTTTTTTCTTTTTTACATCAGACTACCAATGAGTAGATGTGAATTTTACAAATGAGGCATGAGAAATTGAGGCACCATGAACTGATGTGTTCAAGAACGTATCACTTTTGCTATGACCTTGATTTTGACATTTGCATAGACTTCAAAACTAACAACACACTAAGAGATTGTCTGCATAGAAATAGACATCAATTGGGGAAAAAAATAATTTTATTTTGTACTTGTAAAGTACAACATTTTAAAAATGCTAAAATAGTGCAGTCTATAGTAAAATTCAGGCTTATTGATGTATAGACTTTTTTTTTTTTTTTTGTCATCTCTGCCAGCTGTGATTTGCAAACGTCATTTACAAAGCATTTATGGTGACGACTTCTCACACTCACAATATGCAAAATTTACTTTGTACTTCAGTACAAACCACTGATTGGGCCCATTAGGTGCTTGAATTCCTTGACCTCAGTGCTGGGATTTTCAGTCATGTAAGAACATAATTGACTGTGTTTATGGTGATCTACAGGGGCATCCTGCCTCCCAGTTGTTCCTTTCCTCTTACTGACATCAATAATTAAATTGTAGCCTTGGCTCATTAGCATAGACCCCTACATGTTTAAGTCACTTGTCATAGATCAGTACTGTGATCACAAATCACTGTGATTTGTGACTTTGCTTGGGGTTTTTAATAGCTAAAGGTTTGGTTTCCTGAAAACAGGAAGAATTGAGCAATAGCGGGAACTTGTTAGGCAAAAGGAGTTATCCTATTTTAATATGGGAAATTATAAAATATTGGTACATTGCTTGACATACAAACTGCACTAGGCAGCCTGATGGAGAAGAAACAGCTGGCCTTGTGGACTAAATCCCCTTGTAATCCCTCAGGGGATGCTACAGTCTGTTGTGTGGATGCTTCTTAATTATTTCCTGCTAAACAGCAGAAGGTTCTTTATAGTGTGCAGCGCTGTCAAAGTCCTGCTTTCAGCTGAGATGGTCTTAAATTGTGTTTTCTCAGAATGCTGTAAGATACTTAGACAAAAACAGTTGCAGAGAAATTGAAGAGAATGAATGGCTGAAAAAAGAGGTAAGAGGATCGCTTGTGTACAGTTTTTCATGGCTGTTCAGGTTTGAAATACAATGCCCTACAGTCATAACTGTTTCCAGTGATGGGCCTCTGAAGACTTTCCTAGGAAAAGGAGAGCGATTGTCCTGTAATTACTCTGTAATCCTGAGTAGCAATCAGTGTATGTGGTGAATAAAGGTAAAAGGTGAACATCTCTTGTAGTAAATGAAGGACCCATTTTCCTGCCCAAGCAGTTATATGGACTACAACATTCCATACTTAAGTTTATATCTGTGGAGATTGGGATACTATATAGTGTAAAGGCTCAACCATGTAAGTGTCTGAAGACTGTAGTTCTCAATTGCATTGAAGTTCTTGTATTGAAAGAAAATTGATATGGATGTTGGAAACGTTTTTGGAGAAAGGGCTTGAGACAGCTTTAAATGGGAGATAATAAAAAACCCCTGGAGATTAGTACACTGAAGAGAGGAAAATCAAAATCGTACATAGTTTTATTGATTACTTAATAGCTTTTATACTGTCCTTTAATGACAACATAGAGCTATATATATTAGATAGTTGTAACTTTTCTAGTCAAGGAGAAGCTTTTTTTTTGAGCCAAATTTAGGAAACGGATTTTTCCATGGTGACAATTTAATTGTGTTTGTTCCAGTCAAAACAGATTCTTTGTAGAGATCAAATCTAAGCAAGAGATGGGAGGGAGGAAATACCTTTCCCCACCTTTACAACCTCACCACTTAGAACTGAGCAAAACTTTTTTTGGAAATTAATAAATGAATTTATTATTTTTCAGTGCCACATCAGCAAACCTGGCAGAGGTTCCTCCCTTTTACTTCCTAGTTAAGATACTTGCCAGTATGCAGGGATACAGCTTTCCTTCTTCCCCTAAATGAGCTCTGAGCCTACATCTTTAACTTTTCCAGGGTGGGTGTCCAAACCACAGCTTCTGAGGCAATGAGGTAGGGGTCAATAGGAAAGAATTAATGTTTTAATCTGAATAAACAAACAGGAGCTCACATCTATACATCCTATCACTGAATAAGAATTCCCTTCCCATCTCCCTGTCTCACTGAACACTTAACGAATTTTACACACACTAGGCAGTGTCAACAAGGGAGATCCACCTGGGAGTACTCTTACATCCTGACAAGCCCTCACCTTGGAGCTGAGGGATTTGGGTTTCTTCCCTCTCAGCTAGAAGTTTCCTATATTATGAATTAGTTTCCTATGTTACTAGTTTCCTATGTTATGAATTGGTGCTTTGAATTATTGCGGAAAACAAAACTATTATCACTAACTTCTCCAGTCCGCTGGATTCACCCACACATTTTCTCTGCTTTTCTTACAAAGATGAAATCTTTACTTTCAGGCTAATGTTTATATGTAGCTGACAGACTCTTCCAGTATTTTCTTTTGGGGAAATAAACCAAAAATTTCAGTTTTGTCCAGGTTAAAAATTTATCATTTTTTCAGTTTGGCCACTGAACTGAAAAATGACTTACCAAAACAGACCTAAACTAGTTATCTCCAAATTTGAACAGCTTTGGAGACTTCAGTCACATTTTTCCGTGGTTATTGTGTCACACCAAGATGGTGCAAAGCTGCATCACCTCATTGTGCCAAGCCACATCCTGTTACTGGTTAATGTCCTGTCATTTTCACCCTTTTTTAATCCCTGGGAGAAACGGGAACTAGTTATTAACTGCAAATTTGGATGATTATAGCTGGGTTAATCTGGCTTTGGTGAGAACAGATGCATTCAGATCACTAGGTACTGTTTTTAAACATGTGCATATGGCTAAGATTTCTGGGAGGTATCCGTCCCATAGCACATTCCGCTTCCCAGTGAAGGGGTAGGAACTTGCTTGTACTCCAAGAAAAGTGAGAGGAATTGTGGGAACTGAATAACTGGTATCCTTTGGTTAATACAAATTCACAGCAATATGGGGCGATTACCAGTCCAGAAGAAAATAGAACCTGGGGTTTTAGCCAATGTCGTAGCTAACTTGGACCGAGCGCTTCACTAATTCTGGGTAAAAAGGCTTTGTGTATAGGCAGGAATTAGAAAAGCAGCACTTGCTGAGCAAGAGCCTGAATTTAACTCTACAGAGAAGGTTTTTCTCTCTCAAAGCTCTGATTTGAAAGCAAAAAAGAAAAATCCAGAGCTTCTGTCTACCAGACCTGTTTGGCTACATGCGAAGGTTCTGCTGTCAGGGTTGCATAGCCCAAATGAGTGGCTGTGACTGACAGAGTTGTGCCCATAAAGGGTTCTAATGAAGGTGTGAAAGAAAATGTGTCATTGTTTCTCCACCAAATGCGCAGTCTTGCTGATACAGCTACATTCTTTCTAGGTATGTGCTGTTGAGATAGTTACTATGAAAGCTTTCCAAAATGGGTCTAGTCTTTCTAAGATGATCATTTTTTGTTTGTTTTTTTTTTAAATTGTCAAAAGGTTAAGATGTACCAGAAGGAAGTAAATGATTTGAAAGCCTCTATTCAGCTCCTGGAAGAAGAAAATATCGGTTTAGTGACAAAACTGATTGATGGCAGACTTCAGAATCTGAGAGTGCCCAGGTAAAATGATGCCTTTCTAGAATTTTTTTTAAACGTATTGGCACTTTCTGCCTCTAGAGCTATTTGGGCTCTCCCACAACAAAGCCAAAGTAGTTTCCTAGTTGAGGGGAGGCAGGATTTGACTGATTATGTGTGGGACTTGTATCTCTGAAGGGTGACAGTGACATTGTAACCTCCTAAATACTAAAATTCAGGGAAGAAACAGTGTTCTTTAATAAAACTATTAAGACCTAGTGACACTCACTTTCTTTTAGCGGGGATACCACTGGGGCTTGGAAATAGTTTCTTTCTATTGTAGTTGTCTCAGACCCAGCTTCTCAGCCCAAGTGCTGAGTAATAGATTTTTCCTTTGCTGTTGGCAAAATGTTTAAGGATGTGAAGATTAATATGCAAATATATGGGAGTTTTGCAATCTCAAGTGAAACAGGTGATCTGGTACTGAGTAAGGAAGAGGCCTTGGGATAGGTCTGTCTACAGAGGTGCCTGTAGTATTAGTTCCTTTTGTATTGAAATTATGTAACTTGTTCCCTAGAGAAAGATTAATTTAGCTCCAAAATGTCAACACTAATGGTATCAAAAGCACAATGCAACAATGGGAATGATCCATCTTCATTTTCCAGTCCCAGCTCAGTGATTTTAGCCACATTGCATAAAAAATTTCCAAGTCTTAAGAAGTCACCATTCTTCTCCAAACTTTGGACTGCTTTTCAGTGAGACCTGCCAGCTGTGGTTTGAATCTTGGACTGACTGGAGACTACAACATTTGTTTTCTTTTAGTCTCATGGACATAGTTGAACTTAGGCACTAAGAATAAAAAAGACCAGCGCATTAGCCACTAAGCTACCTGGCTGCCTCCATTGCATTTTTAAAACGTTGCGCTATTCTGCATTTGTGGTTAAGCGGCAAATGGCTTTCAGAAAGGGTGACCTCCTCTCCACCCCAAAAGTTTGCACCAGACAATTTAGAGAGAAAATTCAGACCTCCAATATGAGTTTCACTTTATTGGGTTTTTTTTTTATTTCATAGGCATTTGTTTCTTACCCAGGCAGCTGGCTTGCAAGATGAATTTCCTAAGGATGAAATGAAAGAAGTAGAATACAGAGAGTATGCAGGTAATGCACATGCCAGCACCTTATAAGAATTAATAAGTCACTGAACATTTAAGTACTTCTTATTTTTTGTTTTATGAAACTGCGTGTTTTACATGGTGAACACTTAATTTCCCACTTAAATGCAGCCACCACAGCAATGATAAGGTATTTTGCATTAAGATGACAAAACCACAATCTACCTGTAATACAGTTTTAAAATTGAAATTGGTGTTTAGAATGTTGGATCTAATTACTCATATAGAGCTAAGCCTGGAATGTGGTTAATAAGATCGGCCATCCTTCGTGATATGATATGATTCGTATCTTAATCATTATTTACTGACCCATATCAACATAACTTCATTATTATCTTGTCCCTGAGAGGACACTCTTGAACTCTACACTGGCTTTCACTTGGAATGTACATGCTCTTTACAGTCATTCAGCTCATAGAGCTACACCAGAATTAATTCTAAAGGAATCCCTAGCAAGAGCAGCTGAAGCTGCATGGAGCTCAGACCAAGCTGAGACTCTTGGTAAGCAGTACTGAATCTCCATCTGTTCTGGTAGGCGTGCCCAGGAAAAGGATATACCATTAGGCAAGAAGGACCATGTGAGTGTGCTTACCTGTTTAGGGTGGTTTCTATGGATTCCTTAGCATCACATGTTTTATGTTACATCTTTGTGTGAGTAGAAGAAAGGGGAGGGTGTGTGTAAAAAATTAAATCACAGAGGTAAATTGCAACAATTGAAGCCATACATTTACAAATACATGAACACGTCAGATCACATGAAAAAGTTCTGATCACTTCCAGCCATAGGTCGGCCTTTCTGGAACCATAAGGCACCAGCAACCATGTTGACTAAGACTTCTGAATTAGACGTCTGTTTCCTTTGAACGGTTCAGCTCTATTACCTTTGCTAGACCTTTACAATAGTTACCAGGAGGAGTAGGTTTTGTTCCAATAAGCTGCGGTCAAGTCACTGTCCCAGGCAAACATACAACTTGGTAGTCCATGCCCAGAATTGTCTATCATCCTGAGAACTAGTCAACTGCAAATGCGAGCTCTTCAGGAGAGCTATAAGTCGACTAGCTGTCTTTCAGGAACTCCTATGTATGTACGTGTAGAGATTCATGCATGGTTATACAAAAAGTTTATACTTGTTTTTGCTATCTTTCTTTTTTTTTAACTATGCAGGGCTATACACGATTTAGTGTTGAACCGATCAAAGTTCATTTTTTCCTCTGCCCTGTCCCACAGACCCATTACTTCTAACTTCCAATGAATTTCAGTCCCTGATCTTGGTCAGAAATTGTGAACAGAAGTAAACATAGGAAAATCAGTGAGCAAAATCAACGTTTGGCTTGGGTTGCCAATTAAAAATCCTACCAAGCTGTTCTTTACATCACACTGGCCAAGCCAAATTGAAGATTGCAGGCAATGCTCATAGAAAGTACTAATTCTGATCTGCATAAAGCTTAACAATTACATACACATCATTGTTCTTCTCTTTAAAAAGCAAAGACAGATGGAGATGAAAGCATCAGAAGTGCCACAGTCTCCAGTCAGAAAAAACCTGCCTTTCCAAAGTTTCAGTCTAAAACAGAGAATGAGGCGCCTCAAGACAGTGATGAGGAGATGTGGGAAAATTCATTCACTCCAACTCTTGAAGGCTTGTTGCATGAAGATGAAAAAGATTTCCAGGTATGAGTTAAAGTAATGGGGTCTTTCACTGACACATATTTCAGTATGGAGCATGAGCTACTGCCAGGAGCGTTCTATTCCCAGTGGTGTTACAGCAGAAAAAACTCCAAGCTCTTTTACCTAGTGTACAATTCAGATGCTTAATCACAGGCATCTGGTGCTATTTGAGATGGTTAGGACACTCCCTGTCCTTCAGATGCTGGGCCAAAAGAGCATAGGTTCTGTGTCATCCAGGCCAGCCTCACGTGGATGTTTTGGATGCATTAGGGCATTTCTGGTAGCACATTGTTTTGGCAACTGAATGGTGTCCTAGGAATCAGCATACATGGGTCAGGATAAAAAAAATTCTGAATGTCACCAAGTGACAGTTTTCTATGGTGTTGCACAGATTCTTGTTTGCTTGGATGCTGGTTCTTTTAGAACTTATGTTGCATAGTAGCATTAAAGGATCCACAAGTCATTTAATCCTTCAACAGAAAGCCAGGATGAAGGTGTTGCCAGGTGAAAAATACAGGGGTTGAGAAAATAAAAAGGTACAGGTTATGTGTAAATAAACAGAGTTGGTGTCGTTCTCAAAAGAGGTGATGGCACCTGCTCCAGGAGGTCTTTGGCTCTGGGTTGCAAAAAGATGTTTCCTGGGTGCCATTTGATACTACGTTCTTGAATACATTTGTAAAGAAACTAATTGCTCTCAGAAAATACATTACATCATTGATTTCTACTGCAAATAGAAGAAGATGCAGACATGGTGCAGACTGCAGCACTCGCTGTGTAAAGCTACTTCTCCATGTTTCTTTACTATTGAATATTCTATTTAAACACACTCAATAATGATTTTAAAACAACTCTTTTTCTAGAAATTTGGCATTAGTTTGATTAATACTCTGTGACTTGTGTACAGAAGAATCATCCTGTTGCCTTGATCAGAGACTAATTTAGGGAGTGGCTATGTCCTGAAGAGTCATTACACAGAAAAGCTGAACATTTAACAAAAAAAATATAAATGTGTCCAGCTGTTTCCTTGCCATTGTTGCCTTGGGAGAGGAATTCTAGCTTTACTTCTTTCTTCTGGCTGTTAGCACTGCAGAGCCCACCCCACTGAGGGACACAGGTGCCACTGATGTTCTTGTACTTTATAACAGCGAATGTGTAATGGCAAACAGTGGAGTTGCATTGGGAGCTGTTACTGAAAGCATTTACTAAATAGAGGCGATTCAAGAACTTGCACTGTAGGGTTCCTTCTTCCCTCTCCCTGGCCTTGGCTGTATGGTCCTGCTCCCGCCTGTAGTGCACATCGGCCTTTTCTGTAGCTGATTCACTCGCTAACCCAGCAGAAAATCTTGCCCGCTTTTCCTCCTCCTGAATTAGTTTTCTGTTGGGTTAGTCAAGCAAATTGACTCAGAGGTTTGGAGAAGACCAGAGCCAGCACAGACATAGTGGAAGCACAGGGCTGGTCTTGGATCTCTCTCTTTTGGCAGTAGTGAGCTGTTGGATTAGTTTAATTCTTCTCACAGAACTGAACTTGGGAGCAGAACTTGGGTTTGCAGAGAAAATGTTATTGGTGAAAACAAACAGGAAAAGAAGAGGAGCAGCAGGGCTGCAGCCTCCTAAGATGAGCTGGCTTGTAAACCAAGCCCGTTAACACTGATGTTACCAAACACAGCAACCCCAGGGTGGCATCTTTACATTTGTTTTTGAAAGGAAAGTTGCTGGGTTTTTTGAAGAATGATTGCTTTTCTATGTAATTGCAGAAGAATAATATACTTTCTTCCTAAGGAATACTCAAAACTGGGTCCTCTGGAGACAAAGCTAATGTGTGTGGTTGGAAGAGCCATGCCCATTCATAAAGAAGAAATGCCAGGCAGGAGCCACGCAGAAGATGGCATTATTGGTAAATCAGACAGGCATATCACAGCTCAGATGATTAAGGCCTTACCTAAAGAAAAGGTTGGTTAAAAATAGACAAACTGCGCTGTTAATGTAAAACCATAAGATTCCCAGTTCATTAAATATTTGCTCTGTTCTTCAAGGAGTGTGTGGCACTGGGCTTTGTGGAAACTATTTTTAAATAGAGTGCCGGAATCATGATTTGCATGTACAAGTTTAATGAGAGGTGTGCTGTGTGCAGGTGGCTAACTGAAAGGTTGCTTTCCTTACCACTGTGAGAGCTCTTGTGCACTTCTTGGGCTTCTCACTCCAAGTAGCTGCACATACACCTAATAAAGGATCCGAGTTAATATTCATTTTTTGTGGTCCTCACTTGCAGTCTGTCAAATGTGGAATTCCCTCTTGATCAGACACAGAATGGGTAAATGCAGGCTGCCATAAAATGTAGACCTGTTACAAAAGACTTAACACCCTGCTAAAGCAGAATCTAATTTATCCAACCATAATTCAACTATTGCTAGAAATTGAATGTTTGAATGCATTTTATGTCTCTGTAAACCCCTTAGTTAAATATATTGAAATAACCAAACATCAGTTGAAAAAAAACAAACACCAAAACCTCAGAGTATAAAAATCAAAGTCTTAATTTATTTTTTTTTTTAGAATTAGCCAAATACATTGTGTAACCCTGTATCTTCAGTTTGTGGCTAGTCTCTGTGAACATATATCTTAGTGCACTGATTCAGTAGGGTTTTTTTTTTTTCCACTCCCATTGCACTTTCTGGACACCCTATCAGGAGTATGCAATGCAGTTACTTCCCCACAGGCACAAGTAGTTTTCTGACCTACGTATTTCCTATTTAGAAACTTTTGGAAGTGTTGAATAATCTGATTTAAACCCTTGATAGCTTAATCAGCTGTTTGGAATAAGCTTTTTTAAAAACATAAACATTTTAAACAACTTGTATCTATGCAGTGTCTCATCTTACCCTGTACCTGTACTTAAGTGCAAACATCTTTCACTTTTCAAGCCAGCTCAGGTATTCCTTGCCCAGCAGGTGACTCCTGGAGTTGCAGGTGAGTTGAACTGTTCTCTGGGCTCTGCTGCCTACAGCTCCTCAGAAACCAGGCTCACAAGTAGACATGTAAAGGTAGGAGCCTTAATCTCAGACTGAATCTCACCTGTGTTGCCGTGTAGTAAACAGTTAAATGAGTTTGGACATGTCCCTGCTGTAACCCAACTGAGTTACGGCGAAGACCAAGGTGACTCCTAGCGCCCAAACCTTGAGAGAACGGGGATCCGTACTTGCGAGGTGGTGATGTTTTCAGCACAACAGAAGCCTCCTTGGCTCCACTGGCTTTCTTTGAGTGAAGTGCAAGCCCTGTGAAATGGCTTACTTGAAAGAGAGATTAGTTCTGCTCAGGGATTAGTTTAGCTTTTCATTTCATCGCAGAATTAGAATATGGCTTATGCTGAGCAGCTTTGCAGTTAAAGATAGGCCTCTCCTTCTTCCCACCGCTCCCCAGAGGGCATTCACATTCCCTAGCGATGTAAACGCAGGGCCCATCTCTAGGCTTCTCTTCGCTTACGCCCCTAATGCATGCCACCAAGTGTGGGACATATGGCAGGACAGCATAAACTTGTACCTTGGAAAAAAGAAACTTCGCCTCTTGAAGTCACCATTTAGCCTTTTGCCGTAAATGCCTGTGGGTGAGAGGGAGTTAAAAAGAAATCTGAAACATGCTAATTAGGGTACAGGCCACAGGGAGCCTGCACAAGCCAGAAGCAACAGCCTGCAGCACAACATATTTAGTCAAGTGTCCCAAATCCCCTTGATTTCTATAGGATTACTATTAAGGCCGGTGGGAGGCTTTAATATGGAGAAAGCTAGGTCTTCAGCAAATGAGGCATCTGGATTTGATAATTTTCTTACTGGCACAAACCTCTCAGAAATGAGCAACATGTAAAACAGAGGGCTGATCAGTCCCCTTTCTGGCAGCACGGCCAGTGCTTCCAACTCCTACTTAAACAACGGGAGTCAGGGTCCACTTACTCCAATTAGGACAGAGCTTACAGGGGTCACCCTTAAATTCCCAGCATTACGAAATACCTTTTCTTTACTGTGTTTCTGTTGCGCAAGATGACTGTAGGACACGAGTTAGGCTACAAGATGCAGAGAAGTGCCCATGCATCCCCACAGCTATAATCCAAGCCAAGCCTCGGCTGAGCTGGAGTTATGTATTTAACTGGCACACAACTCTGGGAAACTTGGTTTCAACAGGAAAAAAGAAACCTCACAAGCGTTCACTGGAAATTCAAAGTTAAAGAAACATGAGCATCACCCAAGTAATAAAAGCCACTTTAGTAGAACTTAAGTCCATGTGCTGGAACTGAGGAACATCAATCCATCAAATGCCTAAAAAGCACAACGGAGCGGGGTGGGGTGCGCTGCCAGCCTGTACCCACTCCCGTGATTAAAGGAGCTGCCTACCTCAGCTGGTTTGAACCTTCTCTGCGCAATCTCCCTGTTTACCTCAGCACGCTGCTGGTTTGAACCTTCTCTGCGCAATCTCCCTGTGCAGTCAAGCAACTGCATTACATTGCTTTCTCGTCTGGCCGCGCAGGTCTGGTCTCTCCCCAGCCTGAGCTGCGGGGAACTGCAGGTCGCTTCACTTTTGGTCTGATTTTTGAGAGGTTTGCAGCCTCCTGTGCAGCTAGGTTATATAACACGGCAATCTTTCCACAGGTTCAGACCTGCATGTTTTGGGAAACGAGGGTAGGAGACTTGTTCTGCAGCATGTGTTCTTGTCTGGCTGCTTTCCGAGGGAGAAGTTTATAATAAACGCTCTGCTTCTGTGGGCTGAAAGGAGTTTGCCAGAAATAAGGTCAAGGCAGAAGCTAATGGACTGAGAAGTTACACCGTAGTGACAAGCACGGAACAGAGGCTCTAACGGTATTAGCGTCTTAAGCCGCCGATGTTTTGCAGCTGGATGTTCCTCTGAAAAAAAGACTTTCCCCTGGATTCCGAGCCCGCTGTAGAAGGAAGGACGGCTCTCTGTAACGCTACGCTTCAGAGCTCGCGTTCTGCTTACCGCAAACGCTGTGTTGTTTTAGGACGCGAGATGGTAAGAACATGCCAACACCCGTTCCCATATGTGACCCATAGAACATCTCCACTGAGCCACAGAAAACTGGGATTTGACATGGTGCTGGATATTTTCCTCACTTTTAGCAATTAAAGGGCAGCAAGAGGCTAAAATTGTATCAAATAATGCTTTTCTAGAAAAAACAACACTTGGGCAATCGCTGTAGCCGGCAGGGGGAAGCTCAGCAGCTACCACTGCGAACAAAGCAGCGATCTATGCTATGAAAATGAAGCCGAGGCCTCAGCTCTCCTCGTGTACCTCAGCTGCCGGACATCCAGAGCAACACACTTGCATCCAACACATTCTCAGTGCCACCATCAGCTCCTGCAACAGAACTTCTAAGGAAGTTGGCTGTTTGTTCTCAGGCTTTTTCATCTTTGCCTCAGGAAATTTCATCAGCAGAGAAGCAAGAAAAGAAGTAAGAAATGTGTTTTACTCAAATCGTAGGCTGATTTGTTATCTCAGGCAAGGTGTCTCCCACAGGTGAAACGGATATCGTATTTCCTCAGCCTTCAGATACAAAAGGGTGCCAAGTGGGTGGCAGCAACCTTGCACCTTCAGGGGAAGCTGCTGAGGGCCCTCTCCTCCTCCCTCATTCTGCTCTAGCTGGGACCAAGATCAGCCAGGTCCCTTCATTCTCCAGTTTGAACATGGAAAACATGAGCAACTCTCAGCAAAGGATGTCAAGACTGTTTCTGCTCTCTCTGCTGCAGCGTGAGCGAGTGGCAAAGGTCAGGTCTGAAGACTGCCAACAGGCCAAGGAGAAAGCTGCTCTTTAGTTTACGTATGCCCCCATTAACACTGGTTTTCCTTCTGCATTCGGCACTTTTCTTCACAACCCCTCACATTATCTCATCAGTCTTCTGCTCCCATCAGCACTTCCTCCCTTTCCCAGGGTTTTTGGTACCCAATTCTCATTTTTCTACCACAACCTTGATCTCAATTATGTCATGGCCTTCAAGTTGCAATTCATTTACAGCACTACAAAATGTACAGCAGGCTCTGAAAACAGGCACTTTGTGTCTAATAAAAGATGCAGGGTTTCACCCTGTCCCTCCTCCTTGCTGAAGGGCTGGGTTGGCGGCGGGGAGGGTCTGTGACTTACCCCGGTAGCTGGATGAACGGACCATCCGATGTCCCGTAGAAACCATTTTTAAACATTTCCTGAGGTAGTGTCTGTGTCAGGTTACTGCACATTAACCGTTCAGTTTAGTTTGTGACAAAGACCAGTAATTTAAATGTACGCTGTGGCAAAGAGCAGTAGCAGCAAAATAAATTGTCTTCAGATGAAGATTCTACATTTGGGCTTTTAAGAAAACACATGAAGGTAGTAGCTGTGCAGGCTCTTGTTCTGGCAGGAGTAATTATCTCAAGAGGTAAGTCCAGTTGTTTTCATGATATAATTCTCTGATTTAAAAAAAAAAATAATTAAAAGCATTGTGACGATGCTGACACCCTAATTTCCTTCACAAGGCTGTAAAAGGAACCGCAGCCCTCTAACCAAGCACTGCATCCTCCCCGGCTCCCCAGGAGCAGGCAGCTTTCCTAGACAGAGTTTGCTCTTCCTCTCAATTTTGAGGAGAAGCAGGTTTTCACAACCCCCCGTTATTGAAAACGGCCAGTAATTCAAAAGAAACGTGTCCACGAGCTGCGCTTTTTAAATTAAGCTACAATTGTTATCCCAGCAATACTGAAAGCAAACATAATTAGAAACAAAGCAAATGGGAGAATAATCCTCAGGAAAACTCTCAAGCCCGTTTGTCTCTGAAGAGCAAACCAAAAGCAAGGTTTATTAGCAAGACCTCCAACAAGAAAGCTTAACCCGCGCAGCGGCTGCGTTAAGGACACAGAGCTGCTGTGAGCGAGCAGTAAAGGATAACAGCGTCAGAACCCGGCAGAAGAGGCGTACTTTGTTGGTTTGG